GAGGGGGGGGGGCGCATGGCCTCTATATTTCAGGGGGGGTTCGGGTACTGGTTGGGGGTCGGGTCTATGTGTATTGCATCCTTGAATTGTCCCCTCACTATAGCAACTGTGGATCAGTATACAGCTATCCTTACTCAACGCGTCTATGTGTCCGGCAATCTCCGATACCGATCAACCTGTGAGCTTTCCGTATACAGCTTTCGTCACTCAATGCGTCTATGTGTTCGGCAGTCGCAGACGTCACTCAACCCGTTAGGTCTCAATATGCAGCCATCCTCACTCAAAGCGTCTCTCTATGTGTTTGGCACTATCCAACATCACTCAACTCGTGGGGCTTCAGCATGTAGCTATCCCCACGCAGCGCGTCTATGTGTCTGGCAAACTCAAAACATGCGCGGAGGGAGTGCCTTTTTGTGACACCTCTGCTGTATTCATCCAGGTTCATGCATCCAGATGCTATCCCTTCCGCGGAATGGTTTCCACTCGAGGCTCCTTCCGGACGCATCAAGGACCGGATGAAAGTACTGGTATGTGCGACAGCAGAAAGAAGACACGTAGTTGGACCAACGATAGGTACAACGGATAAGTTTGTCCTCTTGCACTTGAAAACAGAGGAGGGAGATGAAGATGTCCTCAGCAACCCGACCAATCTTAACCCGATCCTTCCTAGCCCAACACAATCAAGTCCTGTGACGTTTGGCTATTTCAACTCCAAACGTCCCCCCCCCCTCCCCCGACGTTGTGCTTGTCGACCACTCTGTCCGATGGGATGGTTGATGGAACGGCAGGTGGAAATATCCTTCGAGCCAGCTCTTTTGGGCATGTTTGTGCTGACTCTTCATGAGGGTAAAGGGCTCGGTGCGCACGACCCAGCCTCGAGACCCAACCCTTACGTCGTGGCCACCCTGGGAGAAATGTGAGACGCGGCAGAGAATGAGAGAGCGAGAGGGTCTACGAGCACAAGGAGGGGAATATATGCCTAGAGAGAGACGGCGACAGAAGAGAGTATTGAGGGCGAGATAGTTAAGAAGCCGAAGGAGGGGGGGCGTGAAAACAACGGGCAGGCATCCCATATAGTGACTGAGGTCCTTTCGCCCCCATTGATATTGCGAATACCAAACGTGATCACATGCGAAATGCTTCTGTTCGGATGGCATTGGTTACGATCTGCGCCGAAAAAAGTATCAGGAGTAGACCATTTTTGACACCAACTGAAGATGCGACATTAGCACCGAAAGTGTGTTGTTTCTTTTTCCGTATTTCCATCGCAGGTACCAAAAGCGGAGCCGTGCGGCCAAAGGCGGGGGGAGTGCACCGGTCTTCAGGCAGGAAGAGATAGTGCTCTGGATCGACAAGGAGAACTGGACGAATGACCTCCAGCTGCAGTGAGTACATACTATGCTGTGTGAGCCTGTATATATTTATAGGCATCCCCTCTTCCCCTCCCCCCCCCCCGGTGTTTTGCCATCGGGGTTGGGTTTTCGTCGCTTGGCAACGACGTTGTAAAACAAGCCGCCCCCCCCTGGTGTTTGCCATCGGGAGTGGGTTTTCGTCGCTTGGCAAGGACGTTGGAAAACAAGCCAATTCACTTCGTGAACTCGGCAACCAGGTTACCGTTTTTTTTTTTTTAC